TTTCTTTCTTTCTTTCTTTCCATATTGTGTACTTTCAGCTTTAAGCATTAAGAAATACTGAAGTGTTTTGTCACTCACCTGTACCAGGGCTGACCCACAAACCGGGCCAAAGCGAAACCCAGCCCAAAACCAATGAAGGGATAGACGGATCCAATTATCCATAAGGACGGAGCAATGACCCAGGAGGATTCGTAGAGGACGCCTCCCAGCACCGCTATGATGATTATGAGGGCAAACCCGCCGATAGAACCAACCTGTGAAAATTGGAATAAAAGTACTTTACCTACACTCTGTCGATGGCTTTTCATTAGCTACACTTACATGGACACAAATAATCGGATTGATCAAAATGTTCCATATAAACATGTCTGACTGAAGGTTCTAATCTAATTTGCTTCAACTGGAAAAAAAGAACATTTTGAGTGAGAGGTGATTTTTAGCAATCGCCATTCCGATTGGAACAGAACATTCTATGCAACAGAATGTTTTTATTTCTCTTTAGTAACCTTTATCCACCGGCTCCTGGTCAGCCATGGTGGACGATGTGGCAGTAAATCTAATGTGTGGCTGAACATACCATCCTGCACTCTACCCCTGCAGCAAAGGAGTGTTAGCAAAGGTAGCCTAATACTGAGCCGCTATGTAACTTACCTAAAATGACCATCAAAAACAAAAACAATGGATGCAAAGATGCGGTGAAGGTTCAAAATAGAAAACCTGCATCAACAGACGACTGCAGAACTGAGAAAAGATAATGTGCAGGGCAGCTCACAAAGAGCTGAGCATGAGGAAACACGTAGGGTTTTTTACAAAACAGGCTGCTTCTTATTCTACTACTAAAGCATTTCTGGAAAATCAGACAGTTCTAGTCATGCTTAAATGATTTAATCTGAACAAAAACTTGCTACATGTATACATACATATGTCATGATCAGATCATTTTATTTAGTGTCCATGTAAACAGAGATCTTGAATTTCCGATCAGCCAAGATTTAGATCGGATCGGGGAAAATTTGCTCATGAATGTAGCCACTGTCAACATTTCCTACAACAAAATATGAAACATACCTTTAGAATTTTTTTTGCTAAACGAGGCCACTTGGTTTTTACATAAATCCCGGCTGCAATAGGTATAAGAAGTCCTGCCAGTGTGATTCCTGAGTAAGTAAAGAAGAAATAATGTTAGACAATGAGCTGGTGGAACTCTTTAAAATTGATTAAAACAAACAGAAATAATCAGTGTATGGCAGGACTGAGCACTAAAGATTTCAAATGTGTTCCCAACAATTCCTCCTATACATGGGCGGTTCTAGACAGGGGCCAATGGGGGCCAGGCCAGTGTCCTGGCCCCTGTTGTGACCCCTGTGCATAATACCGTATTTTCACGACCATAAGGCGCACCGGACTAAAAGGCGCACTCTCAGTTATGTGTCCCATTTCTGTATTTAACACACACATA